TGCGTCCGTTATTCCACCGCCTACGGTGAAAACATTGGCTTCCAATGGTGCTGTAAGTAATTTACAATTTCTTTAGCTAATTTCGTAGCGTCGAGTTAAATAAGACGAAAGGATTTAATTATTTTGTGCAGGAAGTGAATGCCAGAATGACCTTCAAAGAGGGCAAGTGGAATTTTAAGGACTCTGGAAATGAACCGTCCAAAAAATTTCTCCAGGCTGCCACTCTTCCGAAGTGGATGATCTTGGATTGCGACGGCATTTTGAATGACGAAATCATCGCTGAGTAAGTTTCGATCATATTTTCATTTTTGTCTAATATATAAATTTACACTTGTTGTTCAAGTTTCTACCTTTCGATTTCTAATCAGTCTTATTCATTTTTCAGAAATTTCGTTAAGAAACTAATTGAATTGGGGGAGAGTCTTGGAATGAAGGGGTTCCGAACCCCGGGAAAACCGAGACCAAAAATTAAATGTTACACTGAAGCAACTGTAAGAAAGTGATCATTTTGATTCTTGAACTTATTCAAACTAGTTAATTTGCCTCATTTGTATTTATTAGTTTCATCCGGGGAAGATAGTGGGAACCGACAACAAATTAAAACGGATCAACAGAGCGTTCGAGATTATTAAGGGGATGCACTACGAATTGGTCATTGTGGTGTTGCCCTCGGACGGGAAGGATTACGCCTTCATCAAGGCGGAGGCGGATGTAGTGGTAAGTTGGTAGATTTGAAGTACATTCATATTTTGGGGAGCAACTGATTTGCTGTATCACTTTTGGCTAAAAATTCATTCGTATTCTTATTTTTTTCTAAAGTTCGGCATATTAACGGCTTGCATCAAGTCAAGCAATGTGCGGGACATGAATAATCAAAAGATTGGAAATTATCTGCTCAAACTGAATTCCAAGCTGTCGGGAACGAACTTTTCGATCCAGCAGCTCAATGAACTCTACTTTAGAGAAAGGACTATGATTCTGGGAGCGGACGTGACGCATCCAAGTCCAAACTCGATGGTGAAATTTGGAAATTTTAATTGTATTTACAATTTTCTTCATTACTAATTTTATTGTATGGTATCCTTCAGGCTCCGAGCATTGCCGCGGTGACGGCCTCTTTCAATATGAGTTGCATGGGTTATTCTATGCACATTCAACCGCAGAAGAGCCGGCAGGAACTGATCAAAAACATGGGAGATATCCTTCAAAAGCAATTGACAAAGTTCTTCGAAACGAACCGAGCTTACCCCACGCGCATCTTGATGTTCCGCGATGGAGTCTCTGAAGGATACTTTGATGAGGTGAGAAATTTGAAATAATTTTAATTTGGAGTAAATTAGTGGTTAACTGGCGACTAATTTTTTTGAATAGGTCAAAGCCGAAGAATATGCGCAAATGAGGGATGTTTGTGAGTTGACTTCTGAGAAATTCGGAATCCCAAAGATCAAAATTACGTTTGTGATTGTAAGTTCATTATAGTTATTTAATTATTACTACTAATTATTCAAATTATTGCTGTTACTAAATTAATTATTTAACAGGTCAAGAAGCGTCACCACACCCGCTTCCAACCAACCAATGCGACAGATGGAGTTGGGAAGGTGAGAAATTTTTAATTAATTTATTACCAGAATTAAAATCACTAGATGAAATGTTTTTGCCGCAGTTTTACAACATTCCGCCTGGAACCGTGGTGGACACCAAGATCGTCCATCCGTCTGAAAGAGAATTCTTCCTCAACAGCCACGTTGGGATTCAGGTGAGTATCGTCATAACCGAAGAAATAGTGCATCTTTATAATTGATGTAACGAATTGGTTAATATTTTGCGACAGGGAACGTCAAAGCCAACCCGATATCATGTGATCCACGATGACACCAACTTCACGATGGGCGATCTGCAGAAGATTACCTATTATCTCTGCTATGCGTTCGTTCGGTGCACTCAGCCCGTCTCCTACCCTGCGGTTGGTTTTTTGTTAATATTGACATTAATTGTTCATAGCGACATGTTTACAATTAATTAATTTGTAGGCGACTTACTACGCGCGTTTGGCGGCTTACCGACCTCGACATCTTCTCGAGAGAGAGGGGTGAGTAAAAGCTTCGACTGCTTCATAGTCAAAATCTGTTGTGCATGTATTTATTTAGTTCGAATTTTAACGAAATTTGTTTTTTTTGCAGTGAGAACGCGGACTTGGTCGATCTCGCAGAGAAGTTGACAATTCATCCTGACTTGGCCAAACGCTATCCGATGTTCTTCGTATAAAGTATGGATCTTAAACTACATGATAATTGGATTGATAAAGTCGATTTTCTATTATTTTTCCGTTGTTGTTAATCTTTTTTATTTACTTATTTTGTTAAAGTCTTATTTTGTTAAAGTCTTGTTTTGGATATATTTGATTTAAGAAGATTCTTTTACTGTCGTTTATATTGCTTTCATGGCAGTTTAAATTATAACTCATTTTGAAGTTTAGAATAATTTAGTATTGTTACAAACACTAGTATTATTGTTAGTATTGTTACTACTGTTTAAAAATATGCAATTAAATATGTGCAGTTTTTTAGAAATGTATTTACGTCATTTTTGAATTTTATTTCTCATTTTTGTAACTTATTTCTTTGTATTTCTCAAAACTCGCAAATTTATAACCTAAATGTCGCCAATCATTCAAACTTCACAATTAATTCATTTTGCGACCTCTAAATTGTTCGCATTCTTAAATTCGTCTCATTTCAAATCTCCTATAAAATTGAGAATACTTTTTGTCCCTACATTAATTACAACTATTTGGAGCACATTTCGTTTCTTGTTAATACGCATTTTTCCCCTTTTCATACCGAGAGGTTCGGGGGTTTGTTAGTCTTGAGCAGTAGTAAAAAAAAAAGTAAAAATTAATATAAAATTGCAAAATTTAAATAAATCACCAAGGTTTTGATTTCTTTGTATTAAATCTGCTACCGGTTGGTATTCCAATTATACCGGTCAGTAAAAATTTGCTACCGATACGGTAAAACTTAAATACCGAGCTGTTACTATACTACACGCTTGTAATGTACTTGCGACGTTGCAAAAGCTCATTATAAGGTGATGTGATTTGTACATATTTGGAAGCATTCGTTTTAGAGGGGTTTGCAAATAATGGGTGTTATCATAGATCAGACCTCAGAACTTTGACAGTAGCTGTGATGGTCCAACTAATCACCTGGTCTATAGTCCAAAATGGTCATATAATTAAAAAAAGGCTTCAGAACCAACGTAATTACTTGAATTTAATTCAATGCAGTAGTGGCCAGTAGCCCATTCCTGAGTGCGAACTGAGCAATAAAGAGACGGAGAACGCGCAGCATTATGACAATTGACCTCTGCACCAAGTACCACTTTTTTTCGTGGAAAGCCCATCAGGGTAGACTTATTATCATTTATTTGTTGGGTTTCACGTCCAGGGGGTCATCTGCAACCACAAGTAGGTGGAGATGGTGTACAATTATTATTTTTTAAACTAACTACCACCTACTTTGAGAATGCAGATTATGTAAAGTACCACTGTGGGGATTTTTGTTCTGAGTTATGAGGAAAAGGGTGTTGCATGCATTCCTTGTTGTGCCTTAATCAGCATAAAATCGTCGTAAGTGTCGTAACAAAACCTGGCATTGCACCTGCGACCATCTTTTGATCAGATTTAGTTTCACTTGTTTTCATTACGTCGAGAAATATGAGCTACAGTTTTACCGGAATTATTATCCTTCATATTTTGACTGAATGAAGTGAATATCGAATTTTAAATCAAGAGAGGAAAGATTGTTGCTGTTAAATATATTTGACTTATGTGTGTGTGAATGTTTACTGAAATAATTTTCGTTAACATGAGCCATTGTGATAATAAAATGACAAAACCTACACTTTAATATCCAAAGGAGATTATTTATCTGCAATTGTGAATGCTATGCATTACCAACGTGTAATTTGATTAGTAAATTGTAAATACTATTTGCGTCGTCATTACACCTCTTTGACGTCAGAGAAAGAGGTTTAGACGTTTTTAACTGGGAAATAAGACGTGCCCAACAATTATCGTTAAGCAGTTTTGATTAGGTTATAATACCAAGAAAATTAGCGTTAATTTATTAAATATCGACTCTAATTGTATTATATAACAGGCAGAAGAAGTGGACTTGTCAGGGGATTATGCCAGAAGTTAAGTGGCATATGCAAATTTTAATCAGTGTGCATTTCAATTAATAATTATGGCAAGATTTTAAAACTAAAGAAGCTTTACTGACTTCATATCCGTCCGAAGGTTTGAAAAGGTGGTTATATAGTTAATACGCAGCTCGGGATCAATATTTTGACAAATTTTATATGGAACGAATCTCCGCGAATATAATTATTTTAGAGTTGCATGTTTCCTTACAGAGCTTTAAAATTTTTATGGTCAACACCCAAATGTACATTGAGATTGTTGACCATAAAACACAAATTTCGAATGACCTTCATTTCTTTGTTGTTCGCTCATTGCACATTTATGGACCAGGACTTTTACAAAGTGCAAGATTTTATGACGCCATGCAGAACACGGGTAACAACCCTCCTCTGTCACGTTCCTAGGTTTTATTGTGTGGCTGGTGTGTCAAAATTTAATAATGTGCTTAACTAGACACCCAAAGTATTGGAAAACTTGTATGTTGTCAATTTTGCTTAAATATGAATTACAAAAAGTTATCTTTATTGGCTTAAAGTCAGGTGCGAAGTTATGCAAAATATATTTGCTATTTAGTATTTGCTGAAATTATCCTAAAATTGAGTCCAGGTATTTGACAAGGGTCGAAGAAACCCATAAAAATATTGCAGATTTAAGTAATTATGGTGATGTTATCGTTGAGCAAAACGGCAAAATCTATGAATTAAATTTTTTGTAATCAGCTATTCAATAAATCATTTTCCAGATCGGTACATGCAAAATGGAGAATAAATATCCAACAAGAAATTGCATAAGGTATGTATTTAAATATTTGTATTGAGTTTATTTATCCAAAATATTAATAATCATGAATTAGGGTCAAATGTAAAACTCTTTTATTATTACTGTGGGTTTTTATTGTATACTCGTATTATGCCACTTTTGAAACTCCACTGTTCCTTCGTTGTGGAGTAACGTTGAACACATGTGTCGTCCTTAAAGGAATATTATTATTCTTACTTACAATTTTGTGACATATTAGACATTTACTTACAAAATAATGTTCTCCCCCAAAATTATGAACATAATAAAGCTACCGAATTTGGATTTAACATCCTATTAATCAAATCCAGTTAAATAAAATGCTTACATTATCTGACAAAATCTAAAAGTTGTTGTTCGCTGGTTGGTATGTAGAAGAGGAAAGAAAAGTTACTAATTTGACACATAATGAGAAAATACCAGTAGTATAATTGTCTATTTGGTTACACCAATGGGTGCATATTCCTGCCATTACATAAACTCTGGTCCTACTCAAGTACAAATACTATTGCGAACAACAAAATACTGATTTATTAAAAAAAAAGAGTACATACGAACTGTTCTTGCTGATGAAACAGAAGAAGAAAAAAATAAGTCACCGGATATTTAGAAAAATCATCAAAAAAAAACAAAGCTTTATGCAGATTGGGGAAATGCAACAAATTTTGACAATTAAAAAACTCGAATGAAATAGGTTCAAGTGATGACTGTGCATGTCGTCTTCTTCTACATACTCTGAAAAATGTTAGGTTTCTGTACAGACGCTATAAAATAATTAGCTAGGCAGTGTTACTCTTAAAAACTAGCGTTCACTGCGCAATCAAGTCTTTATCATCGTTATAATATGACAGTGGACATTTAAATGAGCGGTGAATTGGTGGGCTGAACATTGTTTGTATATTTGTGAGTCTGTCTCTCTAAACTCTAAGCTAAACTAAAGAAGAGGAAATCCAAGTGGTGGATTTTATTTTGCGGTTGCGTTGAGATTTCTTTAAATGCCTCTGTCGAGGGTGGGAGTGGTGAGACTTTCCCTGGTTGTGATGGTGTCTCAGAAGGTGATGTGTTTCTGGGTTGAACAATTGGTCGTCCACTTCCAGCTTTTGGACGTCTAACCCTTGCACCATTATTGGCGTCTCGTCTGAAGGGGGGGTAGTGGTGGTGGGGGACGGTGGTGGTGGCTCTGTAGCAGTGGTGGTGGGGATCGGTGTTGTCGTTGACGTGATGATGACCTCGGTGGTGGTTGTAAACGCTGTCGTTGTAGTCGTCGGTGTGGTGGTGGTGGTGAGTGACGTCGTAGGCGTCGTGATAAGTGTGGTTGGCTCTGTGGTGGTGGTCGTGGTACTTGTTCTTTGTTTTCCTCGGTTAGAGAAATAGTCGGGCCTTAGATGAGGATGATTTTGACCAATCTTTCTGTTATGCTTGTTTACATTGAATTGATTTTGCGCCACTCCGGGAGTCACGACGTGAGCGTTTTTATCGAATCGGAAGCACTTTGGTCTGGCCATCGTTAAATGGTCTGAGCGTTGAAGAGGACGTCCTTTATCGTCAAACCCCATGAACCAGTCATTGTTGAACGCTGACATGTAGCTCCAAGAAGAATGATCACCAGGCACCTCCAGAAACTCGCATTTTTTCCCTCGTGCTTTCTTCTATAAATTTAAAAAACACACAAAATTAAAATCATGTAGAGCATTTATGGAACGCATCACACTGTTTAACCCTTAGCCATGGGAGACCGTTTAAAAACGTTTTAGACTTTCTGCTTTAATTCGGGAGACCGTGAAAAGCCGTTCACAAAAAAAGTCTCTGCCTTCGGGGTCAACGGCTTTTCACGTTTTCACGTTTCCATGTCAGGTGCGGGACAACGGATATTTCCGTGGTAAAAATTATTTAGCTGATTCGGGAAACGGCAAAACACGTTGACACTAAAAACTAAAATTATTAGGGCCTTGATTCAGAATCGTCCGTGGTAACACTAGGTCACTTTGATATAACTTCGCCCCTGCTTTGCATAGGATGGGTTGCATGTAAAATTTTTGACTCTGGTTTACTAACTGCTAAAACTATTCAAGAAATTTATAACGGAAAATTATTGAGGCCAAACCACACCCGTCTCGTGTAATCTTGGTTTTGCCAGGACATGTTCATTTTTGCTAATTTTCAACGTTGATGAAAAACTAGTGGGAGAAATTAGTTTCGGGTTTTCCCAGAAGCTCGACAAATATTTTGGTTAGTACACCAACTATCTCAGCCAATTTATAAAGGTACAGGGGATTATTTAAGATTCAAAATATGAGGTAAAACCAGCGTCGCCAATAAATAAACGATTATATACACCTACTATCAAACTCATAAATTATCAAATTGATCTCCTCGTCTAGGTTGAGGTCTTGGCTGCATTTAAAAATTAAAATATACCAAATGAATGCATATAGTTAGTCAGAACTCTTGATCCCAGTTAAAAAAAACCCTTATGTAGATCCACAAACATGTGTGGTTTTGGATCAATAGCTCCATTTTACAAATGTCTTGAGTAGTTTTGCAGTCATAATTTTGCACCATAGTCGTAGTTCATAACTCTAAAATTATCATGCAACTTTGCTTTACAATGTTACACTTAAATTTTAATACTCATCATTTTAAATGATATTTATTGACGTTGTCCCGCAGTTAATTTTCTCCTAACGTGTTTTGCCGTTCTCCCGAATTGAGCATTTATAAAATCGTCCCGAATCTAAGCAACTCATATAATAAATGTCTCCAGATTTAGAACATGTCAGATTTTAATTATTTTTTGGCTTCCCGAATGATCACAATTGTGGTCATCGAAACGCCCCGCAGCAACGCCAAACATAGTTACCGTTTCTCCTCGGCTAAGGGTTAATGGCAATCCACGTTACGCAAATGAATATAAAAAAGACCAACATTGGATAAGAACAAATGTAATCTAATCCTTATCTTAAAGTTGTTAAGGTACAGACCATAGTACGTACAATCAGTCCGGATTTTATGGTTTCAAACTTGGATTACAAAGTGGTTAAGTCGTATAAATAAATCTGGGCAACTAGTGGTTTGTGTTTTACCGACCAAAGCATCATCCCATTCATTACTTTAATTTTACCAAAGCAAGCAATGGCTTTGTAAAAATAATTTACATGGCATTGAGTAAAATTGTCTCTCTAGTAAAGTTTATTGTCCATAATCTTAAATATAATGATTTTTTTGGCATGATCCTATAGCTCGGAGTTAAAAGATGTATCCTTCGACAGTGATAACGTTAATAAAAAGTAACCCTTTTGGTGACAAGTTTTATTTTACAGCTGCACATAAAACAACGAGAAGAACATGGATCCATTTAATTATTTATCATTGCCGTCAACACTGATGAGAAATCTAAGCTATGGGTCATCACCATCCATTGGCATATGTTCCAGTTCTCTCCGTCACCTCTTGAAAATCTCGCTCACATGATCAGATTTTTATTGCGAGATTCACTTTTCTTTTCGTGACAACCTGTTAAATGCCGCACTAGTTTAACCTGTATCAACTTTTAATTTTTTAGCCCGAACCAGGGCTTATGTAATTGTCATGTCCGTCTGTCTGCCTGTCTGTCTGTCTGCCTGTCTGTCTGTCTGTCTGTCTGTCTGTCCGTCTGTCTGTCTGTCTGTCTGTCTGCCTGTCTGTCTGTCCGTCTGTCTTTCGATAACTCTCGAACGAGTTGACCGATTGACTTGAAATTTTTACCATATGCATATTGGACAAAGTTAGGAAACGAGTTCGAAGATGGGTGACATTGGTCCAGTGGTTGACCGGTGGGGGTCATCGGAGTGGGTGGGGTATTATGCACCAAAATTTCAAAATCGTCATAGAAAGCTCAAATTTGGTACAGAGGTTGCTAATGACTCCTAATGAAAGAATATGAAGTGAAATTGGAAAATTTGTCAACCGGAGGTACCCGAGGGGGTGACCCATACCGATTTTTCAAAATCATCCAATCGAGCTGAAATTTGGTATAGAGGCTGCTAGAGGCCCGTAATGGAAGAATATGAAGTGAAATTGGTAAAATTTTCATCCAGAGGGACCCTATGGGGTGACCCCCACCGGTTTTCAGAAATTAACATAGAAAGCTGAAATTTGGACCAGAGATCCATACTGCTTTTTCATGAAATAACATGAAGTTAAATATGAACAAAAATTAACCCAGGGGGGCTATAGAGACGACCTCCACTAGGAAGTAGTCAACGGAAGGGATAGTAAATATTTTTGGAATTTGGAGCCTAATAATACGAAGGATTGATGGAAGAATTAGTGGAAAATAGTAGCACATAATTTCATAGAAAACTACTGACAAACATGGGTTTACTAATCATTCCTGGTTCGGGCTACGCAAAGCTGTACTGATAGGTTTATCTAAGCTACACCTTGACGCTTCTCTCTCTCGCTATCGCAGGCAATCCTGTTGCACTTATAATTTTGAGTCGACGAAATGAATTTTTAATCTTGGCAGAGCATATCTAGGAAGTTAACTAAAAACCAATTCATAAGCTCGAAACCACCGTCAGCCTCAGTTTCTCTTGGTTCAATGCGTATTTGTACGTATATGTAAATAAGCTATCGTGATGTGTTGGTGGTATTTGGTAACGTTAGACGCTGGAAATAGGCCGACAATAATTTCTGCACGATTCCACTCATGGTATAACTTGAAGAAATATAAGTCACGATTACCTAAAACAGGATCGCATGCATGCATCGCATCGCATGACACAAACATATTAACACACACACAACTACACAAGGGCCGAATCTTCCTCTTTTGTGAAGAACATGGCTAAAGTGGTGGTTATGGTCCATCCAACTTAAAAGTTAACAAAGCCGACCAAGAAGATGATGTCGTGTGGAGATGAGAGTTGAGAAAGTTCGATACGCACCAGTCAAGTCAACAACTACCATTACATCGTTAGATCAATGATGTTTGGACAGACCATCAATTATAATTGATTCCGAACGTCGGATCTCATGTCGGTCTCATGTCCACTCGTTGACGGGCAGTCAACAAATTTAACCAAAAGCATGGGAACAGTGCTTTGGTTCGTGGATAAATCAATGCGCATCAAAAAATCAACTACTTTGATATTTCAAGGATTCAATTATCCGTCTTGTTGCAGGTCACGTTATGAGTGTATTAATAAATTCTTGTGGGTGAATTATCAGTTAAATATACGCCGAAAATTTCGTAATGAAAATTAGACGATAATTGAAGCAAAAAATTGTTGGAATAATTGATTTTATGATATCGCATTCTTATATAGGATCTGAATCAATGTCAGTTACTCGTCATTTCTTTGATGCGCCTTTATTCCAAGTATGTTCGGATTTACGAAACGTAACGCTCCAAGCGTTACATATAATAAGATGAGTGAAGTCAAAACTGCGGGTAGTTCCATTAGTTGCAGTAGTGCAAACACAAGACAAAAACCATTCGGATGCCGAAAAGAAAAGGAAAATTGTTTGAATTAACCACATTCAACGTGGGACTTGAGATTTGAATTATTTTCCTATAAATCAAATCCAGTAATGAAATACCTGCTGATTGTATGACTTTCCTCGAAAAAGAGAATCAATAATGCATCCAAGTTATGTATACCTATCGTACTACTGCTCACATATGTACATGTGTACCACACATTCAGGGCTAGAGATATAAAATCTTTCTTACTAAAACAAATGTATAAAAACTACGAAATTTCGACAGCATTCTTGAAATCTCACCTTTGGCTTAGCGACCAAGCGTCCCCTGCGGTTGTAGCAGAGATATCTGCCTGAGATGAGTCCGCGGATTCGGATCCTCAAGTCTTTGTCCTTTGTCATCGTCGTCTCCAGAACCAGATCGCCTGTGAACAAACAACACGTGATATGAACAAATATTGCATTAATTACCAGGAAAAAGTGTATCCTACATGTCATTACAATTCCTGTTCTGGGAGGGGGCCATATATGTATGATACCTTTGTGGGATCAGAAACATACTGTTTCTCAGGCGGGGATGCTACCCAATAGGAAACATATTTTACACCTTTCTTTCGCACTCCCTGCTGAATTTGGACCCAAAATAATACTCGTAAATAATCCCACGTCTAAAGTACAACTTGAATTCCTAAAATTTCCAAAGCCAGAATTCTTTACTTTCCATTTTTACAAGTATCTAGATCCGAGACCCAGATTTGGTAGCAGTTCTGATGATTAGATTACATAGACTTTCATTCAGTTGCTATCCGTCAACCCCACAAACATATCATTCACGGTATTCATGTAGAGATCGTACAAGTCCATTAAGGACAAGATTACGCCATACATAAATATATACAAATACAAGGATACAATGTTTGCTCAACGCAGGTAAACTAAATATGGCCATAACAATAGAATGCATGCTTACGTATTTACGTACGTACACATGAAAGATGTCGAGAAAATATTATGGACTGGAGTGACCCCACTTCTATGTAATACAGCGATTAAAAAGAATTTGAAGTGGCCCTTTCTTGGACGTTGGCTGGCAATGGAGGAGAGGTTGTAGGTGAGAATTTTCATCTCATCAATTTACACCGAGAAATTCTGTCGTCGCATTCCGCTCATGCTGAGAACCAAATGGCTCGGGTGAAATATGTTCAGACCATTCTCCAAAAGTTTCTCTGTCTCTCTAGTCGCTCGCGTATGTTTCGTCTTTCTCTGGGCTGTCTTAACATACAGCGTCCATTCAGCTCTGAGAGTTTTATCTTGGAAACAACATTTCCAAATTTCCTCAAGCAGCACACTTTTGAAATCAAAAGTCTGTTGTCTTTACCCTTGGACCATAAGACTACTTTTCATAAATCATATGACTTGGCAATTCCTGGAGGATGAAAATACCACCATCACTTCGTATTACTTAGAAAACTAACCCTTTCTTAAACGATGGGGATGCAGAGAGAGAAATATTTAGAGGGGTCCAGTAGTTATCTATATCTTCATATACAATTACAGGTAGGAGTTAACCCACCAGTGGCATCATGCATCACTGAATTTCATCTGATATGATAAGCACCTGCTTTTCAGTCTCCATCTGCCACGACACAATTTCTGGAGACAGTATCACAGATATTTTTTTTCTCAACGAGAAATAATAGAGGGATACCAATTTCTGCGCATGGAATTTAAAATATTTTCTCATTTTCATAATCAACCGTCAGTGTGTAAGCCTTTAGAGAAACTTTTATTTGAATGAAAGCCAGCAAACATCTTAATTACTCTCTGTGTGAGAAATGCAATTAGGAAAACATTTCCCTCTGGAAAGGTGAATGCTTGACAGCTCGAAAGCATACACAGATATGGTATCATCCTTCTCCTCCTCCTCATCCCCGTCATTCTGGTGTTGCATCCTTGTTAATAATCTTCCATCTGTTCTTCTCAAGTAATCAAATAAAAATCATAAAGAACACAAAACCCTCGAAACAGGAAGTAATCACGTCAAATACCTTATTTATTTTTCCGAAATTAGACAAGCGTCTTCATAATGCATGTGATCTAATGTGCTTGTGGATGACAGTGCAATATGAAATTAAGGGCCTTATCATATCTGATATTGAAATAGTTATCAAGGAAAGCAGGTGATAAACAAGGGGACAAATGCGGGAAAAGTAAAAGTAATTAATTCCAGCTTTGCAAATTACACACGTGCAAACAAACATGCATCTCATGCACACATGTAAATAGGCCATGTCATTCGTTAATTCATTGTCCATCTACTACTTGCATGTAGAACAACAATGTCAAACTCGTACGATCAAATTCTACATGAACATTACTTGAAAAGCTTGGTAAATCTGACAGTCCGTCTGCATGTCCATGTTCCACACACACTTCGCAGAGATAAGGAGAAGGATGAGATCATCCTCCAAATCATATGAAGCATGGATCGTTCACACACGTGATGACAAACAGTTTCGAACTGCATCCCAAATCCCTTGGCACCCGGACCCTGATTTGCCCTCTTTTTATACTTAGAAATAATCTAAGAAGCCAAAAATGCAAATTTTTTATACGCATAATTCCTTTGAAAATAAATTTACTTCTTCACATTACGCACAAGAGTGGGGCAAAAATACCGAAATGAAAATGACGGACGAGTTTATAAAGCCGAAATTTTGAAGTTAATACATGAATTAGAATCATTCCAAACTCCTGCAATTTCTGTACAACCCTTAAAGAAGCAATTGTAGTAGGTGTGCATAAATTGTTGAATGATGATAGTGGTATTAATCTTGATTTGGCGAACTTTTAATTTTATATGCCACCCACCCACAACAGCACCAGCCATTTGATCACAAAATGACCCTCACCCGGTGACCGACAAGTATAGACTGGGTGGCTGCCTGGTTGCACTAAAAAAAGTCATATTATAATAATATCAACACGATGAAGTCATCTTTTGTCAGTTCAACAACTCTTCACACTAAAACACAACAAATATTACATCACCCGTTCATTCTTCTTTGTCCAATTACTGCATGTGCACTACTACTGCCATTTACTACGACTACTACGATTACTACAACTGATACTACACGTACACTACTACGTATGTACTACTCGTTTCTTCTATTAATGACAATTTGCTCTTTCTGTTTTGTTTCCACTTTATCAACTATTTACAAACAATTAATGCTGATGGGAGAACAATTCACACAAAATTACGTCACCTTTCACACAACAATGGAAAAGAAAGTTCCCAAGAAGAAGAGACGGTGGGTGATGAAGGCATAAATCGTCTGCCTGATTATTTATATAATTGTATAATTTCTTGGAAAGAGTAAGTAGTACGATGCAATTGGCAATACAGTTGTTTAATCCAACCAGTGACAACAAATCAAATAAAGGTGTGACTCGACCAGAATAGATTAAATTAAGCACTAATCCAGCACGTATATTTATGAGCACACTCGTCAACATTAAGAAAATTATGACTGAATAAACATACGTATGTCATGTCTGGGTAATCAAGTTATATAAGATTTCAATAAGTATTTAGTCGGTCTGAAGAAAACGTACGAATGGACGTACTGCGTATAAGTGAGAGTATTAATTACATCGTAATTTTTCTCTTAAACCAAACCCATTACCGTCGGTCGGCTTTTCTTTGGTGAGAAAAACCTTGCGAGCGATGACATACAACAATTTACGCAGATTCGATATTTCTTCTCCTCTCGCTCGCTCGCTGCCTTTTTTGTAATTATTCCTTGACAAAAATGATGGAATTCAATCCGGCTGGAAATTTATATTATGGAAATGCTGCCTGACAGCCTTAATAACATGGCTGCTCGTAATTATCTATCCATAAATAAAATTTGTCTCGTTCACTTCACAAACCATGCAATTACTGCGACTCAGAGAAAGTAATGAGACGGGGAAGGTTTCTCACAAAACAGGAACTCGAGGGAAATAACTAACCTACGATAAAGGGTACAGAATGCACATATGTACAAACGTAAAATAATGTATGGACACAAAATGTACGATGATGGAAATGTAATCCAATTACGTTGGTATTGCAACCTGACCAAATTCTAAAATTCTGGTCAGCCACAAATATGCGCGGAGCTAACGCATGCAAGAAAATGATGATAACAGGCGATGGAGATGTACATAATTGAGCCATTAAATCGACCATCATCGACTAACATCCGTTATTCATATCTCATTCGAGCTAATTTATTTCCTAAAATTTGTATCCACTGTCAAAGGTAGAAACAAGCAGACGCAGACTAATGCAATAAGAAGATTAATGTGACAACGGGTTGATTATACCCCTTAAATAACGAGATAATGTCATAATTAAAGTTGCCTGGATGGGAAATTGGTCAATAACATTGCTCGTTTTTTTTACAATAACTTGCCCGACAGCATGTTGCTGAGTCCTTCTCAGAAACTATTTCATAAAATGGGCCATACATTAACAAATATTTAAGCAATGTACATATGTACATACATGTGCACTTATCAAGAGATTATGTTAGGTTTCTGATTGAGGTACAAATGAACATTAAAATTCTGCAGGCCCTAAACATTTTTATTCTCTAATAATTTATCAGCAGATCATAAAATCTATGTTATATTTTGCAGAAGTTTATCACGTTCCCTTCCAGGAAAATTTATAATTTATGAGTTAATAACCGCATTAACTCTTTTCCGTGGTTTCTCCTTAGGAGAAATTAAGCACAGCAAAAAAGTTAAGGCGCCTGGTTAACAATTATTAAGACATGATAACATTTTACTTGGATAAGTAATTTGTTAAATGGACGAGCTAATTGTCATTGTCGACCATTTTCGTCAGGTTAACAAGTGACTGTTGTTCACTTTACAAGTTTAAATCGTACTACATACAAGGCTTTGTGCATACTATGAAAATGGGCATTAGGTTAAGTAAACGTGGTGGGGTAATAGCAAGTGTCAGCAGGGTTCGGAAAAACCCAGGGTTTTAATCAAAAATTATAAAACCCATGGGTTTTAATGGGTTTTACCATGTTAATTGGGTTTTATTTGGGTTTTAATGGGTTTTAATGGGTTTTATTGGGTTTAAATGGGTTTTATTGGGTTTAAATGGGTTTTATTAGTTTTAAGTAATAACTTAACAAAAATAATTAGGAATTTGTATCTATTCGGACATTATTTTTGTTTTATAACACTTGAAATCTGTGATGCTAAAGGATGGAGTCAATTATTGAATTGTTCCGAATTTTCATATATTAGAATAGTAATGAAATAAACTGCTTTAGAATGAATTGAGATAACGTCTTCTAACGTATAGGAGATGTATTTAACTTTTAGAATGTAGTTTTAAGGTAAAACTCAATTAAAACCCAATAAAACCCATTAAAACCCAAATAAAACCCACTTAACATGGTAAAACCCAGTGGGTTTTATTCATTTACAACCCATTAAAACCCATTAAAACCCAATAAAACCCAACCCATTAAAACCCAGGTCGGAATACCCTGAGTGTCAGATTTAGATTCAGAATGACAAATTGTTCTCAAAGTGACACTATTTGCATAAAGTGATTTGTAGGTTGGATTGATAACGTGAGTTGTCAGCTTGAGCAAGCACACAAATGCATATATTTGAAATAATTGTGCCAAGAACTTGTTCACCAATGCATGTAAAATGTGCAGTGTATTTTTTGGTGAGCCCTTTTATGCTAATATTTTACAGCGATGCATAGATGGCCACTACAAACTACAATGCAACGTTAATTTGTCATCATTGACGATACCATGCAAAATTTCAAAACATAAATCTTCTCATGCATATCTGGATTGAGGTAAGAGTGCATTTCAATCAATCTGTTGCACTATTCCAAGTAGTAACGCATAAGTCGCTTATGTATCCATATCTGGCAGAGGTGGTACTGTGCATTATGAATCAGGATGCACACATGTTTTAGGACGTACGAAAAAAATGGAAAAGTCCATAAATGATTTGTTATCGTTTTGTTATTCGAATGACAAATCAAATAAATTTCATGATCACCAACTCATTGTTTAGCAAACAACCTTTGCCATGCATACGGAAGTGTCTGGCTTTAGATAGCTGGACCTCGACATTCAGTTGCCTCAAAGTCAACGATATTGATATTATTTTTATTGACTTATTGGCTCCTGCCAATTTTCCAGATAACTCTGAACGTGTGCGCCGGATGAACTATATCGCTTGTTGTTAACCAGGTTTTGCCAACTTTGGTTTAAATTAAATTGCGCGTATTACACGCCAGCGTGGATTATGCACACAACACTTGAACGCCTGACACTTGACGTGGAGACAATAATTATTATTTTTACAATCCAATGTTCCAATGTTTGTACTGGATAAAGGTAGTTGTATTTGGCTGACCATTCATTCACATCCAGGCTCATGTGGACTTATCGAAAATAAATGCACGCTTGTCTGTTTAAAGAATTTCAAGTTCATTGCTGACGTCTGTTCAGCTTCACAAGAATACAACGAATGTGCTACCAACTGTGTTTTGCGTTTAATTTATGCACATACGTCCGTCCATAGTTCAGCACGTAGCAGGGGTAGCAACATCAATCAACAATTGTTGGTCCAGTAATAGATAGTGGACAGATAGTGGTCGTAGTCGTTCGATAAGTTGTACGACCCTTGATGAATATGACCCCGTGATAGCTGTATGCTAATTACAACACAACATACGCACTCAAATATTGATGGGATTTATTCTTGATAAGTATGGTAAGGATTTGTGTGGATGCAAAATTCTCACCAGTATAATCTTATTTAATCTCTGACAAACATTAAAAATGATATGTCATTATCTGTTTGAGCGTAGAATTCTTAGAAAAGCTGCTTTCCGTTAATTGTTAAACATCCTCTGATTTAAATTAATTTTTAATATTTATAAATCACAGAGGGCTCTGAGTTTAATGGGGGTGTGTAGCTTATATTATTATTAGGTTATCTAAATACGTGTTTTTTTTGTGACTAATGATGACACTTGGAAGAGTTTATTTCGTCAGTTGATAAGAGTAGTTAAATTAGTCCCTACACAAACAATTCATGCAACTCGTAGCGTTTGAAGAGTGATTGATCACTGACAAGAAATTATATTAAACTATTTTTATTTAAAAATTATGAAACTAAATCCGATGAACTGCTAGCACTTCACTTGATTAGCTAAATCAGTGCCATCGTGAGATGAAATCTGGTGGATAACGCTATCTAGAAAATGGATTTATGTAAATCAATACCATATTTCATGAAACTCGGCAAGTTCACCTGTACTGGGAATTTGAAACTAAATTCTATTAAACAAATATTTATCAGTGCAGAACAGAAGAAATGCGTAACACTCGAATAACAATTATATGTAGCTTGATGAGAAGCTGTTTTTCTGATTAAAATCAGCTTTCGGGATGAACAAAAGGATTAAAGGATGAAAATGAAAGTTTTAAATTTCAGGGACCATTTTTACACAAAGGAAAAGATAACACGGCTAATCCAACCTATTTCAGGTCTATGCGTGAAAGTTACATAAGCTAAAAAAAAACTAGGGGATGATAAGATATACTTTCCGACAGCGAAATAAACCAACAGCCCCAAGTTTGGTGGATAAATGTACGTAGATGGTTGGTTGGTCGGTGAGTACTTTATGAGCATTAATAAATTTCGCCTCCGTCGTCCCAGAACAAGATCATTCTTCCTTAATTCCTCAATCTCCCCATCTCACAACATTTGGACACTGTGCTGATACCTCCTAATCTGGACTAATCTCGACCAGATTTCCTTTTCATGGCCTGAAATGAAGTAGTTCTACTGCCCTAAAACATTCGAGTAGAGAGCTCAATACAAGTAAATAATAGTTCTGAGCACACTTTTGAACATGAATCTGCTTTATGGTGATCTTTAGTGTATCTAATTTTCATCCACATTCCCTTATTTTTGGCAATGTTTATTTATTTATAATTCACACTATACATGGGAAATGCTTGTAAAGAATGCAAAACATTAGTGGGCTTGTTCTTACCTTTATCGTCGAAATTGGTAGCGGTGGCTGTGACACGGTTATTGTCCTGGATGAGAATTTCCCTCTTGGCACACTGGTTGTAAAGACGGTAGGCCCGCTCGTTACTGTTGGCCGACGCCTTGATCCGCATCGGAGACGTCAGAGACAGCGAGGAATCACTCAGAGAAGGCATTCCTTTCACGTTCATCGACTGTTACAATATTAGCCATAAAATTTATCATTAAAAATACAAAGTATTTATTACAGGTAATTACAGTTAATGATAAATTTTTCACACACAAGAAACCATTTCTAGGATGAAAATCAAAGAGAATTCTACAATTGTTTGTCAGTTCAATATCTTGGCGGATGACTTATCAATTTTTAACTTGATCTTGCCCACATTCAAGTAGAAGTACATGTTCAAAAACCCTACATGAACACGACACAAGACTTTTTACAGTTTACTCTTCTGAGCCGACAGTTTTTTTCCTCAATTTGTTTTCTTAAAGTTAGTTGCAACTCCTTTCTTTCGCCGTTGTACGTGTGATGTTGAAGTTGGCATCAATTACCTCTAATTCCTCAAGTATTATTTAAGTAGGTAAGTAATTATGCGTGTAATGCGTATTCACCTGCGTGAGCCATTTATTTCTCTGTCAACTCTTTAATACTTCTTTTCTTCCCGAGTGTTGTTGACTTTGGTAAAAGTAAACTGTTCTCGTCCTCTCTTTTTGACTATGCGAATGGGATATCCGCTTCTTCTTACATAATACATTTTTACGGTGTAGAACGTGTCATACTAAGTCCTTCCTTTATGAGATACATACATTGCCGACGTATAAAAATATGTAGCCGAATGCCAAGTAGGTAAATATATTTTTGTTTTTGGTCATTTCCCTAAATCCGCCGTAATCCTATGTGATATATACGCTTGCAACAAGTTCAGTGCACTCGTGGTGACCAATAAAACTTGTCAGTGGAACTTGTGCTGTTGTTCCGCATGCATTTATTTATAAAATGATTAGTTGGCAGGACATGGGAAGGAACAGAGATAGATGAGGAGGATGTGTACAATGTACATGCGTATATTAATATATGTAATATCCTCATTGATGACTCGGGTAGTTGTGGAAGAGATAAGAGTGACAATAAACTTGACTTACCATGAGGAGGATTATCACATGCAAACAGAGCAATAGAAACCTGCAAGGTAAAAAAACAGGATTTAGTCACAATCTCTCAACCTTAATGAATAAGTGTAAACACAGAAATTCCAATGCAAGGTGGTCATTCATCGTTCACTCGTGACACTGTCAACTCTGACAAAGATCAATGGCAGGCAGTCACCACGCCAATGTCAATCGTCGCAACAGCAGCCAACTACAAGTCGTTGTTGTTGATTGAAAGCATGTCAAAGGGCATGATGCACAATGTCACAATTCTTATCTTGTGAAAAATTTAATACAATGCAGGCAGAGGATGCGTCTTATTGTGGGGAGAACCTACTCCTGTGCAATTCGTAACGTCAATCAGTGGGTACAGATCAAATGATTCTTGTTGCAAACAAATTTTCCTCGTGATTACTAAGGAATGTAAAAATATTTGGGTAAGAGACTACCTTGTGAAGCGCTCAATTTTAGTTCGGGGCCCAGTAATGCTTATCCGAACCACATGTGCTGCTTTCATCATTCATCATAGTTCAAGGTCAGAGAGGGAGGAACAACTCCGATCCTTCTTCAGGTGACAATTCAGCACTGGATTACAAATTTAAAATAGACAATCAGTAATATATCAAGGCAGCGGCTTGAAATCCCGGTTTAAACATATGCTTAATTTTGCACTTTGAAAAGTAGTCGCAAATGATAAACTTGAATTGAGTCACAGATTCAGACTTGCTTTGCAGTCAAATCGCAAGTCAGTTAAAAGCAGGACACTAGAACTTTTTAATAACTGACGAGCTATGTCGAGGTATTTTGTTATGCAAATTCTTAACATATCAATATAATCGTTATTCTTCGAAACACTGACAATAGGATTTATAGCTTTTTGCATGCAGAACCAAGAGCTTGGTGAAGTATTTTTTACCAATTTAGCACCAACACTAAATATGTAGAAGGGTGAAATTATTGGTAACACTGGTTTTTTAAAAGTTTAAAACACTTTCATAAAACCGACAAATTCTAGTTTTCTAGTATTCTCGCAAATTTAAGGCCACGAACGGTAACCACAATTTCCAGTGTTGTCCAGTTTAAGTATAAACCAGAACTACCATCTCACATTCAAACCCATGCAATTTATAGGCACGCGATCTTGCAGGATTTTTTAAATACGTAAGTAACGTTGCTCAGTTGATTAGTGCGCATAGTTTTTACATGGAATTTGGAGGCACTTTGCATGCATGCCTTTGTTGTGTATCATTACTCATCATACAGTAATGAAATGCTCGGAGACACAAAATACGGCAAACTACATGTTACGGTACACACATGACATTCTTGATCACTAATTAAACCAATAAATATTTATTTACACGGCCTGTCCCACACCAAGTTCAATGTTGGAAGGCTGACGCATAAAGCAATACCGAGATTTTTGCACTGATAACCAAACCATTCAATAGTTATTAATTGAAAAACCGTTTCTGCGAGTAAAGTGAGTCACCAGAGCTAATAATAACGCATTTCACGTGTAATTAGGTGGTAGTTAATAGGAAATTCCAAATTACGGTAGAAATTCCAAATGTTTAACAACGTATTTATTAACTGTTTCTGTATTTACTTGACAATTTGACTGGATTCGAACTGCTCAACGGTGCAGCCTCAGAGAGTGTCACGTTATGGATGGAGTTGGAATTTAGACCGAGATTAGCACATTCCAATGAAAAGTTGACTGCGATTGGCAAAATGATCCAGTTGCATAAGTCGCGTAGTCGCACACCCACTTCGCTCGCGGACAATAAGCTTAATCGACGTCACCAACAAGAGTGGAAAAGTCCAGCAAATCCAGATGATATTATTATTCAAGCACAACAAATTATTATTGGTCAGATTGTCACGTTTGTGAACAATGGAGCTGGATTAAGACGATTGAGAGATGTCACATTCACAAATGGATGACATCAGCCGAATGATTTTGATTAAATTTAGGTGGAATCTGCATCATTTGCAGTCTCCATTCTATTCCAAGCACCACAAGGATACGATAAATTTACGGCCAAATATCAACCTCACATATGGATTCTATGTATATCTGTCTAAGCTTTGATCTTCAATTACACTTTGTTTCGGCCAATTTCCATATCAATATATTACATTCCTCGCCTAGAAATTGGTCTCTTTGCACACTCGTTGCTGTGGCTTTGTCGGTTCTGAAATCTAAACTTCAAGTCACGAATTATTTTATTTGAGGTTACAAAAAAATGTGGCAAATTGGAGACCAAGGAAAGTAGTAACTATACAAGTTTAAATATCAAGTTGGTAGCGTATGCAAGTAGTTTTCTACAATTTCTATGCACATGCGGACCAGCAAACAAACAAACGTCAACTTCTTGCAACTTTTTTACGGATTAAATTAATTAAGATTTATTGTCAAATTTTATTCGACTTGAGCTCTCCAAGCTGTCTGCGATATCTGAACATTTTCGCCAACTACGATTTCTCACTTATTACTAAATCAGAAGTTGGGTTTAAAGGAGCTTTATAAGAAGCACGGCGACTGACTGGGCCACTTCCGTATTTGGATGTGTTAGAGGTACACACGAGGAGCCTGGAAGGAAAGATGACCTTATCTGTCGCAGAGACCAATTCTGCAGGGAAAGGAAGTGCAAAACAACACAGCATGTGTATGATTAAGGGCCCAACAGCACCCAATTTGTTACAAGTATCGCACTTGTAATCTTGAAATGATGTCATTCTTAAGAAGCACAACAAACCTGATAAGGTTAGCTTGCCTCTCAACACCAAATAATCCATGTGTGGGTGATGATGATGAGTAATATTTGTGACCAGTCGATGAAGCATTAATCGTTCATTGGCAATTTATACACATTTTCACTATCAACTTGTGTATTTTATGTGCTTATTCAACATGAGAAATGTTTCGAACAACTTGAACAGACTTTTGCAATTACATAAACTCGATGTTGCATAAGCATCCAAAATATTGTTTGTGTTCTCGGAAACAGATTTACACATGACTCATTCTTGAGACAGTGATTGAGGTGTTTTTAGACATTAGTCGAGTCAGGACTTTAATCATTGCATGAAAACTTAATCCAATTACCATCACTTTTATGTTCCAATATAATAATCAAGACCTATTCCACCAGAGATTATTTGCACCATCAAGTCATTTCAGTTCGTCTAGCAACTCAATTTACCTAAATTAATGGCAGGCTCAATTATTGAGTAATTATTGCAAGCAGACTGAGGATGAGTAGTAAAAAAAAGTGACTGAAAGATTTACGAGGGTTACTCACATGATGATGAGATTAATTTGATTAAATTGACCACCTTTTAAAAAGAATTCTATAGCTGTTTTACAGCCCAAGAAAAATCGTAGTGACCCCGTTGATCCAAAATGTACATGCATAACCACTCTCGAGTTTGATACATTCGTGGCTGTGAAAACTTAGTTTATCATTTTTATTTCTTATTTTATTCGTCTAATTCGTTCCTATTGTGATAAAGCGGGTTCATTCAGCTCACCCTTTTTCACCACCTCATTGCCTCTGCCTTTCATCTGTATTTGTATGGCTAATAAAGTAACAAAACACACAATAGACAATAAGCCACCAACCAACCAACACACCGGGCACTGAAACTCAAAACCATTTTCATCACACTTTTTTAATAATAATCACGCATTCATTGGGACGCTGAATGAGGACGGAGGTGTTCTATTCCCGAATACATCCTGGTCCTGAGAGTGTTGATGAGGAATGAATGGGCTGATGAGGGTAATGATATTGCCACTTTTTCTAAATAATAAACTATAGTCTTTCCACCCAGCAAAATAAACTTGTCAAATTTCACCCCTTTCCCATCCATTTCGATTCATTCTGTGAGGATGGGCCTCGACGTGTAACAAGATTATGATAGAAAATTGAATGAAAGCTGAACCGTTCATCAAATATGTAACCAAATACAAATTTCTGCTTCAATCATTCAATAAATCAAAGTATTTTTCCTTTCCTGTTCAGGCACACTCATTGGTTTGGCGAATGTTTCCTCTGTACCTGTAAAATTATAGTTGCGATAATTGCATATACAACGGAAATCATGTAGAGTCGCCCTTAAGTGGGATTTATAATTTGTTTTCTGCACTACGTCCACAAACCATAACAAATATTTGAGGTGATTATGTACTAAAGGTCCAAATTGGATTTTTTTTCACTTTCTTTATCACCAGTCTCTCTCCACTAGTTTTAATTTTTTTAAACCGCTGTTGCATCCGTATCCGTACCCTTGTAAATAATTTTTCCATGCTCAAATCCCCACAGAATGAATAATAAGACTGACGGATGGCTGGATACTTTAAGCTCAAGTAATAAGGTAAAAAATAATTTGAATTGATCCAATTCATGTGCAGGAAGAACCCTGTTTGTGTTAAGTAAGCTGATTATCCTCGATGCATATGCAAGACAATGTGATGATAGCTGTTGTTGTTGCTGGCTGGCTGGAAGAGCGTCAGCGTCAGTCTGCCGTCGTCGTCGTCGTGGTCTCTTCTTATTCTTCTTTGCAAACAAGCTTCGAGTTGATTTGCATAAGTTGGACTTGTAATAATCCTCACTACCAGCCATCAAATAAACTCAGGACAACAATGCATCAAAAATCTGAAGCATGACAAATTCAGGGAAATTTTGGAGTTGAAAGAGAAAACAAAGATGAATTGAGGGAGATTGAGGATTTATTTGGACATGGGAGAGGAACATCTACATAGAGGAGGAGGTGGTTGGGCTGTTAGTTGGTCGGAGGCCTAAATAGAGACGTCTACTCCAGAAATGGAAAAGCAGATCCTAGATTGAGATGAAGATTAACGGAGTCTCATAAATAAAGTAACGCACCACAACAGATCCTTCCCTTAAGTACACATTTTAAGAAACCTGGGATGTCCAACTGTCTCTAAAAAGTTGTAATAAATGCTGCATTTAATCAACTGCCTTCTCCCCTGTTATTAAAGGTACTGCCACTACCATTTTTGTGGTTAGCAGTAAATTTAAATTTAAAAAAAATATTGTGGCTGAAGGGACATGTTGTAAAGGAATTTGAGGTAAAAATCTATATTTTTGGAGATTTGCTGGCCACTGAGAAACTTTTAAAAAATAACAGAAGAGGGAAACTAAGCTAATGCACGTTATATTATTTTGGTCTTTTTACTGCTCTTTTACAACGTATTATCAGACATCATTGACTCTTAATTGCCACATTCGAGAGCATCATCATTCTTGTGGCTGGCACCCACAAGTTTCTAACATTTCACCGTATAATTAGTCAGTTGTTGGCTCAAATTAAATAATTTTGGAGAAAATACAAAAAATTCTCAAATATCTCAAGTTTGTACTATTTTGGGTTAAAATAACGACTGGACAAGGCCCACACAAAAATTCTTGAAAAGGAACCCGCAAATTAATTGCTCAACCAACTACACAAGTGGCTAAATTTAAGCTCCTTGACTAGATAAATACATACACCATCCGGTTGCTTACTCGAAAGTGAGGTCTAAATACTAATTAAAGCTTGTGCCAGAGACGTCT